TAAAAAGGAAAATTTTTGATGTACTGAAATAGAAGACTATCATTTCAATATTCAGGTCAACAGTATATTTGAGATTATTAAAATTCCTCATTGATATGGTTTTAACATATGTTAAACTTTTTGTCATATATGTTAGAAGTTTTTCTTTCAGTAGGCTTTTTGAGATATTTTTTAAGTAAGGAAATGACATGATTTGACTCTATGTTCCCACCCAAATCTGATGTTTAATTGTAATTCCCAGTGTTGGAGATGGGGCCTGGTGGGAAGTCATGGAATCATGGGGCTGGTTTCTAATGGTTTAGCATCATCTCCCCTAATGCTATCTTCTGATAGAGTTCTCACAAGATTTGGTTGTTTGAAAATGTGTAACACCTCACCCTTTGCACACGCTTCCTCTCCTGACAGCCATGTAAAGATGTGCTTGCTTCCCCATTGCCTTCTGTCATGATATAAGTTCCTGAGGCCTCCCCAGAAGCAGAACTCTGGACAGCCCATAGAACCATGAGCCAATTAATCCTCTTTTCTTTACAGATCACCCAAGGTCCGGTATGTCTTTATAGCAGTGCAAGAACAGGCTAATACCAGAAGTTATTGCTTTCAGGACCTAAATTGGGAATACTTATTTACACACATCTATTCAGAATCAGCAGTGGAAGCAGCCATTCATCATGACCGTCCTATCTAGGGTATGGTGAGGACAAGGCATCTTGGCTGAACACTGACAAGTGTGAAAGCAAACATTGGTGGGCCTGCTGAAAGGATCAGTGTCAATGTCCCTGAATGACAATCTTGGCTCATGTGGGACCAACTGACCTCAGTGGCAGGCACTGTTGCCAGTTCATGACTTGCTTTTATGAAGAACATGTTGGTGGCTCCATTGTTTCTGTACCTGTTGAAGCTTACTCACTCCCAAATGCACAAAATGGTGGATATTTCTTTATTGCAAATCCTTCTTTTTCCTACCTTTGTGGGATACCCATTTCTTGTTTTTCATTCTTTTTCCTTCATATATATGTCATATATATATGGCTGTAGAATGGGGGGAAAAGAACTACATATAGAGTGAAAATAGTAATCAGTGACATATATATATACATATATATATGTATCTATTTCTTTTTCCCCATTTCTGCAGCCATATATACACACACAAACACATACACACACACAACACACACACACACATATATGGTATGCATATATATATATATATATATATATATATATATATACACTTGCCATATATATATATACACATATATTACACCTGTTTCTCAGCCAGGAAGCCAACTAGCCAGCCTCTGTATTGGGTACCATCTATATTTCTTTAACAGCAATACTATGGGAACCTGGAAGGAATGACTGTAAATAGATTTCCAACATGACCACATCATATCACCTCACCATGTAGGAAAAATAGTTTTATATGCATAGCACATGCACTGTAGAGTTTCCATAGTATTAAACACTTTGAAGTTATGAAAACATCTGTACTGAAGCAGACATGAAGAATTTTGGTGACCACCACAAGTGAAACTTCAACTTTGCCAGCATTTTAAACGTATTCTTTACTACTAGGGCTAAATACCCACTTGCTGGAGCAATATAAAGGAACCTGTGGTATTCTCTTTATTCTTAAAGCACTTGAATACAGTCACATGTCAATTAACAACAGGGATACATTTTGAGAAATGCATTTTTATGTGATTTCATCATTGTGCGAACATCAGAGTGTATTTAGACAAACCTGGATGGTATAGCCTACTATACATCTAGGCTGTATCTAGTGCAGCCTACTGATCCTGGGCTACACATCTGTATAACAGCATGTGACTTTTCTGAATACTGTAAGCAATTATAATACACTGGTAAGTATTTGCCTCTCTAAACACACCCACATATAGAAAAAGTACAGTAGATATACAGTATTTTAGTCTTATGGGACTGCTGCCATATATGCAGTCTGTCGACCAAAGCATGGCTATACAGCCCATGACTATAATGGTTTAATTTCTCGTGACTATTGGCTGGGATAATGCAGGCAAAATGGCTTTTTCATAATACTATGGACAGGCACAATATTTATAGGATGATAGTAGTATCATTAATTTATTTTATTTACTATCATTAATATAGGCAACTAATATTAATAAGAGTTTTGAACAGTTTGAAACTGGGCTTTCAAGTCAACCAGCTGGTTCAGAAATGATATTTATGTACATATGCATTTTATGTGATAACAAACCTAACGGAAATTACATTTTTTCACAATGTAAAATCTCACCTAAATCTCTACTCTTTAAATGTAAATAGCTATCTACTGTACTGTGGAGATTTAAAAAACCATAAAACAATTTTTAAGCACTAGGCCTTACTAAGAAATACAGTATGTATTTATTAGAAACTCGTGAGGCTTAATAAGAGCTAATTCCTTGTTGGATCAACAAAACAAAGATTCCTTAGTAATCTTGGACATTTGCAAAGCAGTATCTATGTATCCAAGACAGCAGGAGCAAAGAGTAAGGAACCAAGGTGGCTGCCACCAGCAAGGTTCCAGGCAAAACATGCAGCAGGCCTTTGATTAGTCATCTTCTCTCACCTTCCTTTCTTTACTCCTTCCTCTCTTCAAGTCCACCCTCCCCTCTCCACATCTGCTCTGGCTGCTGGGCTGCCTGCTCACTGCTACTTTCCTGTTGCCCTTCCTCTCCTACAGGCTACTTTCTTCCTCTCTTCTCTATCCTCCAGTAGAAAACACCCATTCTTCAGCAGATATACATTATTTTAAAGAGATCGTTAAATTAGATAGTGAGTGCCAAATTCCTAGTCATTGTATGAAATATACCATGTAATTGCATTTTGAAAAAGCAGATTATTAAATGAAATAAATATAAATTAATATGGGAATGTTTCTAAGTAGGAAGAGACTTCTCAGTATTTCCCCCTACTTTGACCTACTGTCAACGTGTTTTCGATAAGTGTAAAAAATAGTACTCAGTGAACAGTCACTTTACTTGTAAAACTTTGGAGACTCTCTCCTAGGCCCAAAAAATCCTAGTGAGGGTAAAAAGTTGTGCCTTCAGAGAAATTAAGCAATTAGGAGAAATAGACTTAAATATCTTCTTTTGTTCTTAATAGCAGTTGTATTTCCATGTTATTAGTTTTTAGTGCAGATTTCCAGAGATTGAAAAAATGTTTATGTAAGCAAATGCTACATACATTCCTTTTCCCACTTTTAAAACAAATGTAGTGTACAATACATGTTGCCCCCAACTTAAAAACGTATCTTACACATTTTTACCTGTCAGTAGCATAGAACTTCCTCATTCTTTGAGTTTTTTTTTTTGTTGTGGTCGAATAGTATCCCATTATTTGGGTGTGCCATAATTTATTTGAACAGTTTTGCATTGATGAACTTTTAGATTGTTCCCATCTTTTGCTATTATAAGAACCGCAGCAGTATTAACCTTGCACATTCATGATTTTGCCCACGTATGAATATATCTGCAGAAGAAACTCCTAGAATTGGAACTGCTGAGTCAAAGAGTATATGCATTTGTAATTTCAATAAATATTGCCAAATTGCCTTCCAGAATGATTATACCTATTTACACTCCCACCAGCAATGAATCACTGTTCTCGTTTCTCTCTATCTTGCCAACCCTAAGGGTTGTCAAATTTTTGGATTTTTACCAATCTGATAGTGAAATATGGTATCTTGATGTAATTTTAATTTGCATTTTTTTCTATGTGGGAGTGATTTGAACATCTTTTCATATATTTATGAGTCATTTGTGTTTCCTTTTCTGTGAATTATTACTCACTTTCTAATAGGGTTTTTTTTCTCTCTTTGAATTCTATTTTCTCTTTAATTATTAGAGAGTTTGGTTCTTTGTATTGTAAATTGCAAGTACTTTTTCCTAGTTTGTTGCTGTCTCTCAACTTAAAAGAGTTGTTTTAAAGACCAATATGGGTAACTGCATTAGTGTTCCATGTCATTTTGCCTGTAGACACAGGTATGAATGAGGACAGAAAGATAGGTACACACAGATAGATAGTGTATGCATGTGTGATACATTTTTTTTAAACAGGCCTTCTTTCTTTCTCATGGTATAAATAACATCATGCAAACAATGCATGCATCCACATGCAGGGTCAACGATTCCTTTAGGCAAAGGTGGAAGGCAAACATGTTATCCAAAAGAGGTTCAGATGTTTATTGAGTTGCCTTCTAAGCACTATGCATTGACACTGGCACTAGGAATGAGGAAATGACTGAGACACTATGTTTGCTCTAAAAGTTTCTAGTTTGGTGACAAGGATGGAGAAGTTATATGTGAAATTCGAAATACAATAGGGTAGAAAACAAAAATCAACACGTGAGTAAATAATTAAAATGAAGCAGACAAAATGTGTATATAGTCAACTCCCCATATCTTTGCATTTTAAATCTGTAGATTCAAGCAACTGAGGATCGAAAACATTTGAAAAAAAAAAGTTGGTTGCATGTGTACTGAACATGTACAGGTGTTTTTTGTGTTGTCATCATTGCCTAAACAGTACAGTGTAACAACTATTTATATAACATCGACATTGTATTAGGTATAAGTAACTAGAAATTGTCAAAGTATACGGGAGGATGTGCACAGGATGTATGAAAATACTATGCCATTTTATGTAAGGGACTTGAGCATCTGCAGATCTTGATATCCTTGGGGTTCTGGACCAATCCTTGGAGGTTAATGAGGGATGACTGTATAATTATGAAGGCAATGATGAGGGATGAGAAGGGATGGGATGAGTAACTGTAACCTGTAATCATCACTAAGCCACTCTATCAATCGAAGTTCAGTGCAGAAAAGAGAACTTGCTCTGGGATCTTTAAGCAGAAAGAGTTTAATACAGGGGATTATGAGTTTATGAAACCATGGGGAGAGATTGGAGGAATGGAAGTCAGGTTGCTGACATCTGATTTCTGCGTTCTTGTTGTTCTTTTGCTGCAGCAATTGAGTGCTTAGAAAAGTAGTGGCCACTACCACCACAGCTTCCACTTCCTGGCAGCCTCTTCCTGAGGACACTAGTGAGCACTGAGGAAAATGTGGAGTCCAGAGCTGCCAGCACAGGTTGTCAAGTGCACCTGCCTCCTGAAGATAGCTTCTCTTGTGTTTCAGGTTTGTCACAAGTGCACCTCTTTGGCTGTATCCAGAATACTCACAGAACAGTTGCAAGGGAACCTGGGAAATGTAGTTTTATTCTTTCCAGAACCTTTAATTCAGGGGGTGGGAATGAATGCCAAGGATTAGTACTCAGTTTCAGTCACCTTAGAATGAATTTACCAGATTATCAAGCATAAAGCAGGTGACTGAAGAATGGGTACATTAAGTTGATACATTTTCCCTAGGTCAGGAAGAAGGGATTCTAGAAAATAAGATTTCAGGGAACCCACTTGGCAGGAGACCTGGAGGTTGAGAGTGAAAAGACTGAGAGCATGCAGTTATAAAGCGTGGACAATTTATCTTGTGGAAATGTAAACTGTTTTTCATTATTATGTAGGGCATATACAATGATGCTAAAAATACAAATAAAAACAATGAGTGATATGATGATGAAAGAAGATAGTGTAGGTGTAAATGTCTGATCAACCGTAAAGCCCTGTCATAAATAATACTGATGGTAGGTGTTATTATTCTCAAGGAAACAGGTTTAGGAAAGTTAGTAATTTGCCCAAGTTCACTCTGCTGTGTATTGGAACTTGAACTGAATCTTTATTTCTCATTTTCATTCTTCCTTCCTCCCTCATTTTCTCCTTTCTCCTTCTTTCCTGTAAATTACTGAGCATCTATTATCTGCTATTGCTTTGCTTAGATGGTCAAGACAAAACACTTTCCGTCAAAGAGGCAGTAATCCTCTAGTTTGTCTAATGTTCGTTCAGGATTTTTTTTTCCATTTCATAACATATACCTCCGAGAATTATATTAGGAGCACTGGACTCTGTTAGGAAACTAGCCCCTTTTATCTTTATTAAGAACACAGAGACCAAGGGATAGGCCAGTTTTAACCATGAGGCAGTAGAATCTAGGTTCAGACCTTCTGGACTAAGTTGAGGCAGTTAGTATGGCCTCCTGGTTGGGAAACAGATCACGTGGATTTTATACAAAATTGCCTCCATGTGTAAGGGCTGTAGGATTTGACTCATGGGAAAAAAACAAAAGGAAAGACTAAAAATGGCTTCAAAATATCACTAGGGTATTAAAGTGGAGCTAACCACATAAAAGACACATGACATTTGCCTGTGAATAGATACACTGAGCATTTCAGTTCTTATGCTAGGTTTTAGCTGCCAGTGATTCTTGTGGCACTGATCCAAGTTTTCAGGACACTATCACATTTTAAAGTTTTCCTAATGAATTATAATAACATTTCTGTAGTTTACATCAAATTGTGTTGAATGGCATTTTTAGCAAATTGTGTCACTTTGTGAATTTCCAAATTTTACAAAATTTCTTGTGCCAAAAAATAATCAGTGAAAATGATTTTGTGTGAAACTTTTTGAAAGCCAAGTTTAGCTGATTTTGCTAAACAGCACAAGCAAACAATTTATTCAATCTTTCTCCAAGTCCTTTTTCTGTGCCTTGTTCTCTGCTTCCAGGCCCCCCTTCTTTCTCCCTTACTAAGCTTCTTTCACTGTGTTTACTGGCCTTTGTTTCTGCTGGGAGTTTGTCTTTCTCTAACATTATCAGCCCTCCCCACTCCCCTCAACCCCTAACTATACCAAGCCTTGGGCTATGGTTTTGGGTTGAGGGTCACAGAGGTCATGGATTTTCCACTCAAAGAAAGAAAGAGAAAAAGGAAAAAGAAATGATCACTTTTGCTCTCTCTTCTGCCCTTGGTGCTGAGAAATTCATTTGTGAGTACCCTGGCAAGCATGATTACTGTGGGTTTGAAACCAGCATAATAGTCACCGCAAGAGATGCTATAATAATGCTGCTTAGGATAAAGTAAAGTATTTATGTATGCCTGGACTCAAGTTTTAAGATGGTTTCATGTGCATGGTTAGACTACCTAAGTAGAATTTTGAGCTGGTTCTTCTGATCTATTTCCCAAAGATGAAGAATGTAAAGGGGAGTATAAACAACATGAGCCTCGGTGGCAGTTTCTGGATTTTAATCCTGGCTTTCCAACCACTTAATCTTCCTAAGTGTCCGTATTCTCTGTTACCAAATAAGGACAATAGCAGCTAATATAAGAATAATTTGAAGAATAGTTACCATTAGTCAAACAATTATTATACACTGGGCATTCTGCTAAGCACTTGTATGTATTGTTTCAAACCCTGTACAACACTAGGTAGTGGCATTATTAGCCCCATTTTATGGATGAGGAGACTGAGGTAAGGAAATGTTACATTACTTGTAGGCATCTTAGGTAAGAAGTTAAGATGGGTTTTGTCTGATTCCAAAGCCGAGTTTTTTTTTAAATTTTTTTTTTTAAAGATGGGGTTTCGCCATATTAGTCAGGCTGGTCTTTAAAACATTATACCAGATATACATGAGTATAAAATGATACAACAGAGTATCAGATATATAGAAAGGGGACATCATTCTTGTTTTGTTTTGAATTGTTTTAAGATTAGACATTTCAGGAAGCTTAAGACAGCTCCATTTCCTGCTTTGGCATCTTCAGCATTTACTCTGTTTTTCTCCTGAATGTGGGCACAGACTGGATCACAAGATGGTGGCTGAAGGCTGTCACCTAGACCATGGGAGATAGCCAGGCAATTACCAGCCTTATTTCTTTGATGACATAAAAAAATATGGTAAACTGTCCAGAAAATACCACAACAAACTGCAGCTGGGGCATTGTCTTTTCTCAGATCAAAGATTGTAAGAGGATGTTGTGCCCAGAAGGAAGGAATGCTCAGGGGGTGGGGGGCAGGGGGAGAAGGGGATGGGATTGAGACCAGAAACATCCCTGCTGTCAATTACTCTTCATTATACTCCTAATGGAAGCCACAGAAACTTACAGTGACTATTGCAGAAAAGCCACATAATTATAGAGCAGCAGTCTTGTGGCTTCCATGTGTGTTTTTGTGATCTTAGGCTGTATCTAGCCCACGTGCTAATTTCTACCTGCTGAATGCAATTTGGTTTGCAGTAAGTGATGCTTTCGAGAACTTTCTCAGCAGCTCATCTTCAGACGGGATTTTTGTCTAAACCATGTGAAACCAGAGAATTCTCACAAACATCTGATAGGTATGTTTTGCTTAAGGAGAATAATGAGTCTTCTGCCGAAAAAGTCTTCTGAAATAAACTGTGGCAAGTGCTTTAGGTATGTCTGTAAATTTGGGCTTCTGTGAATTTAGTTATGCCTTTTAGATCACAGTTTGTGAAATCACAGTGGGTTTTCTTTTTTTGAGGTTTCAGGAGGTTTTTGATGATTTCATGACCTTTTCCCTTAATAGCACCTATTACTTTGATACAGAATTTTTGAAGTGCTTCACAATCTTTTGCTATTCCCTGGAGTCTAGGCCAACATTCTTATCGTCTCTATTTTAAGATAAAACACAGAGAGTTTAAGTGACTTGCCTATGGGCTCCCAGCAAGCGGGTGTCTGTGCTTGACACAAATTTCTTAAGCTTTTGGCTTTAGGTGAGTTCACTGAGCCACATATTTCCCCCAGCAATTATTTATACACATTATGTGTCTGACCTGGATATGCTGGTGCTTATTTTCCATTTGCATAATGAGGAATACATCAGGCATCCAAGAAGGAAGGTTGCCTCCACACAAGGAGCTGAGTCCTGATGTGGACCTGGATTTCTATGTTCAGGGAAGGTCAGGGAGCACAGGACCTTGTCCTTGGCAAGGTCTGGAATTGAGCATTCTGGGTAGAACCTAGTCCAAGTGAAGTGAAGCCCATGAGCTGGTGATGCCTTCTGGCAGAAGAGCAGAGAGGACGTTTTCTTGCTTGGGTCTTTCCAAATGTAAAATACAATTCAACTGTGGAATGCTGGAACCCTTGTCTACCTTTTGGGCAACCAGAGAGGCATCTTTGAGAAATACTGTGGGTAATGAAGCTTATGTTCAGGTACAACAATAAATATAGGGTCTAGGTGAGGAGAGAAAGTTGTTTTTTGTTGTTGTTGTTTTCTGCCTCTTGAATTCAGGAGGACAGATTATAAATGTTATTTTAAAAAATATGCAGGGGGCATTAAATATCATCGTTTTGCAAGCTATTTCTTTTTAATTGACTTTTATTGTTTTTAAATTATAAGATAAACTTGTCCTACTATAAGCTAATTAAATAAACTTTAGGAAATATAGGTAGAGACAATAACATACAGTCACCCTAAATTTCACAACTCAGGATAAGCTTTATTGACATTTTGGCATATTTTCCTCTTTTAAAAAATGTGCCTCGCTTTGCACCAGGCCCCCTGTTAACAAAAAGGTGGGGGAGCTGACTTTTTTCTTTTTAACAATAATTATATATTTAAATAAATTACATAAGTTATTACCTATTTTATATAGACACAAGATTATACTATGGATATTGCCTTACAGCCTGCTTTGTAAACTTAAATTTAATATATTTTGAATGTCTTCTCAAGTTATTAGTCTTCCCCAATATCATTCCTGATGGCTGCATAGCACTTCATTGCATAAATGTGTCGTCATTTATTTAACAAATTCCTCATTGCTTGATATTTATGTTGTTTCCAAGTTTTCTTGATTATAGACAAGGTATGATGAAGTCGTAAATCTTGCTTATAATAACATCAGATTATATATTTTATCTGTCTCTTCTGGAAGACCTGAAATGTAAGGTTACCAGCAGTATTACTGCTGTATTAATCTTTAACAGGAAAACTTGAGAGGGAAAAATGGCTTCGAGTCTAGCCAGGGCTAAGGTAATAATATGTCAAACAGTAAAGTGCTCTTTTGCATTGACTAGAAATGCAGATAAACTCAATAAGCTAAGAGCTACATGTGGCTAAGAAACTATATTTATCATAAAGCCAACTAGATCATGGTAGAATAGTATTTACTTAAGATACTTTATACCACCCTTAAAAAGTGTTAAAAAAGTAGGTAACTTATTTGCATAGATTTAAAGTGTGCTGAAGTAGTTGTTAGGTCATAAATGTTTCAGTTCCGTCATCTTTGAAGTGTATTTCCCAAGGCACATTTCTAAAATAAAAACACAAACTAAACGAACAGAAACTTCCCCAGTCCCCCAGACAATGACTACTAGCACAAAATCTCCCCAAACCCCACCTGTTGTTCTTTCATTTGATTCTCCATTAGTGATATCTGATTCTACCTTTAAAAATTCTGTAGATCTCACTAAATGTTTTTAGAAAGATCAAGTTGCCTCATACAATTTTTTCTTGTTTAGTTCTGTAATGCTAAAGAAACACAAATTTGCGTATCATTTATTTTAAGCTTAAAAACTTTTATGAACATTAAAAGAAGCCTATTTAAATTTTACCCATTTTTACCTCAGCTTTTTTTTCCTCCCCAGATTTTTTTTTTTTTTTTTCACATACATTTTCTCTGACTTTCAAGCCAGGACTGATGATAACTTGACTGGCAGACATGACTGCCTGGGCTGAAGAGACATGTGATCTTAGCAAATTGCAGCAATTCTATAGACTGAAGTAATCAAAAGCATGCATTTTTGACAACTCAGACATTTATAGTTTGTATATTCTATACTAGGACCCAGAAGTGACATAATGATGTCAGCTTTTCCCCCAGATAGTTTGGATGACTCTGTGAACATGGTTAGAGAATAACATGTTTTGTTTTCCTTCTCCTTGGGGTGACCATTGTCTCCAGTAGTCCTGTGCTCAGTGAGTCATTAATTAAACCCAGAATCTTTGTAAGTGACCTGTTGCGGCATTGAGGTTTATTCCCAAGTTATTCTGCTTCACCGCATAATATTTGGTCAATGTGCCTTGTATTTGGTCAATGTGCCTTGTTTTTATTTTTTTTAAATTTCCCTCGTTCTTCCTCACACCACGAGGATTCATTTTTGCGATGGAGAGCAAAAGGCTAGGTTAAGAAAAACATAGCCACCTCCAGAGTGCAAAAACTGCAATAAACCCATCACCTCTAACAACAGCAGAGCATGAAAAGATAAAAAACAGCCTGCCAAGAATGTAGTAACCACCCATTCACTTTTAAATGCTCTCCACACTTCAATGCACAGACCTAATTACTTTTCTGCATTCCCAAATCCACTTTGCCCATACTGCAATCAGAAACCTGGCGTTAAAATATTTTAGACTTGGAGGATCAAGACTAATTATGGGCCTTAGCTGCACCTTTTGGTTTTTCTCCCCGTTTCCCCCTCCTCTTCTTTGGGTTACTTTAAAGCACGCTCCACTGGAAGAAAGGCTGCCCAGTCCCAGTTGGGGGTGAAGCATTGAGAGAATAAAACAAAGAACAACTCAACTCAATTCAGTAAGCTTCAATGAGGCTGGTATATTTAATGTGAGCCCAGGGTTAGCCCACAGAATTGTGGCAGAATGCAATATTCTCAACAAAAAAAGATGTGTTTAAGGTCGGGTAAGGCCCCATAAGGCTGTTGTTGGTGTTTAAGCAGTCCACTGAGGTATTTAGCACCAAGGGTTTCTAAACATTCCAGCTGAGAATTAAACCGCAGCTTTACAGTAGCTGCTTAGAGGTTTGGGGGGCTGGGAGCGTCCCCTCCCCCTTGTATTGAAAGGTCAACAAACAGTAGGAAAGATCATGTCATAACAAAGATGAAGTCACCTATTATTGAGTATAGTGACAGCTAATAGCACTATCAGAGGAACTAATCCAAGGTATTAAATAGTGTAATTGTTAAAATAATATCACGGTTATTAGAACACCCAAGCATGAGACATTCTTCGTGTTAAGCAACATGAAAGTTTTACAGGTGAGCTTAACTTTCCCATGACAGGCACTTGTTATAAATATGTAAATATTAGAAAATTGCCTCCATATGACAATTTTCCTATAGCATACAGAATGCATTTTTGATATGCAGATGTTATGTTTCGTGGCATTTACTAAACTGCTTTTGGGTAATTATGCCAAGAGTTATACTCTTGAAAAGCTTTCATTCACACAAAATAATTGACTGTGAAAGTTGGTGTTAATGTTTTACTTTGTTCAAGCATTTTTAGTTTCACCGGTTTAATAAGACAATTACTAATACAAACAAAGCACAGTTTCTCTAAGATGAATTCCTGAAACAGCTAAGGGAGGCTGGATGCTGATAGAGTTAACTTCGTGGAAACCTCAGCTCTAAGTTTGAATTCTGGTGTTATGAAACTAGGTATGGGAATAGATATCAGGTTTATAGAATTATTATTCAGAATATTAGGAAGAAATATGGTCACCTTGAGGCAGTACAAATGTCACAAAAACAGAAAAGCCACCAAAATTCTTCTCTATTTCTTTTAGTTTCCAGTAGTCAAGAATCCACACTACAAGTTGTGTTGTAGGAGATGGTTAAAACCAATAGGATGCTTCAGATAGTCAGAGCTTTCAGGACACTTAAAAAAATAATACACGGGGCACATCCATTGGCTCACAACTACCAATTAACCCTTCTTGTTAGATAGGTAATTTATTCCTCTCAGAGGCATTAAATATCAGAGAAATCATAGGCCAAAACAGTAATTATCTACAGGGAATCCAAAGGCTTGAAAGCCAATAATTCTGAAAAAATTAAAACAGAGTTCTTTTCAGTGTATAGACTTCTAAAACCTATAATAAGAGCCAGACATTGGCTGTGAACCTTTAAACTTCAAGGTGAAAAAAGATGTTGCAGAAGGCACAGACAGTAATCATGGGCTTTCTACATAAAACTCTCTGGAAGTGGAGGTCAAAGACCAAACATTCTGGGCACCCTCTCTAGTGCACAGTGTCCTAATCCAACATGAAAATGCAAGGTTAGATTGGCCAAAAGTGGGTATGGGGGAAAATATTAAATTATGGAGCTAAAGAAGATGACAATAAACTCCATTTAAAAAGCCGAGCAGTTTAATTTGAATTTTTAAAGCTTGAGTGAAATAGAATAATCTTTTCTTGGATAAAAAAGTAATCACAGCATTTCTTAAATGTCATGGCAAACTCTTCTTAAGAAAAGCATTTATTCTTAACATCTCATCTCCTTTATGCTACATTCATATTTTATAAAGTCTAGTCTTGGAAATCTATAGCTAGTGGATCTGGTTATTGAATATTTGACAATGATGCTCTCTTTTAATTGTACTTTTTCTTAATTGTACCTTCACTTTTTTTTTTTTTACCTTTTTCTATGTTTTTGCTGTATTAAAAAAAAAATGAAGGCCCTAACTCAACCCTGTAATAAATCATTTAAGTTGTATCTAGATACTCCTTGTAGAAGTGTACTAGCATTTAGTGTTTTTACCCTTTCAACACATGACTTCTTCATATTCTGTAAGGGGTCTTGACTTTTACACATTTACTACTGGTTTCATAGAAATTCATAGTGGTAACACCTACTTTTCACTTAACAAGGTCAAGGCACAAATCCACATGCCTAATTTAAATGATTCCTTTCTCTCTCTCTCTTTTTTTTTTTTTTTGCATCATTATAAATCCATACCAGATGTTAGTGAAGGAAGAACATAATTCCCTGTAGTTCAGTTGCTCTGACTACCTCTGATGATTCTTTTGTGGACTTGGGAGACCAGATTTGTGTTTTCTATAGTAAGCTTTCCCAATGCTATAGAACTTTCCAAGATTTCCGTTTTTGTCCTAAGTTAGGTTAATGTTAGAATTGGACACAGCTGCTGTCCATGACAATCTAACATACCAAATCAGGTCACTTTGCAGACTGAATAAGAATAAGGTTCTTGGGTGATGTTTGAGGACAGTTGACAAATTTATGTACAAGTAATTGTGCAGCCCAGCTGCCGTCGAGCAGTGGCTTAGTGGACACCTCCTGGTATGTCCAAGGGGTTCCAACTCCAAGAGGTTGGGCTAGATCACTTTGATGCTCCCTTCCAATGCTGAATGTGGTGCTATAATCTGTCCAATTTAGATCAAGGCATTTTATTATTAAGAGAGCACTTTATTTTCTGACTTTAGGTGTGCAACAAAATTCCTAAATTACATTTATTTTAGTAATTAAATATAAAATTGCCTGTATCTCAGCTGGCAGGAATATTAAAACTCACACAGCCAATGCTGAAGTGCCATTTTTAGCATTTCAAATCACGTAGCACATTTTAATTGTCTCATGTGTTCCTTTTTCAGGGGTTTCAACAAAGAAATAGTGGCTACTCCTTTTCAAAAATGGAAAGCAAGAGCATAGATAATGAGAATGCTCCTCACAGCCTGCCTGCTCCTCAGAAGTCAGATACTGAACATTTTGTTATGTTAACTAAAATGGGACAAGAGAGGAAAAAAATGAAACTTCTCTTGGCAACTTGTGATCAGGTAGAACATCTCAGTGGCCATTTAAGCTACTTAGTCAACTAACTAACTTGCTACCCTTTTGTCTAAGTTAGTAACTCTCACCTTGCTATTTTCATTTCTGCCCAAAGATTGAATCCTATTGTACAGCTAACTTTCTATAGCATGTTGTTACTTGTAAGTCCTAGTTTCACATGGAGCTCAATAAACTTGGAATTAAATTCATTTGGTTTCTCCATTTGGTTTCTCCATTTGGTTTCCCCATTGTAGTGTTTATTTCCTTCCAGTCTGAAGGTTTTGCCAGTGTCTGTCCCAGATCTGGATGCCCGTCTTCCTTCCTGGCTCAGCACTTAAAATTATCGCTGGTATCACCATTGTCTAAGTTCCCCATATTCAAAGCCCGGAAGGCATTTTTAACTTGTTGCTCCCCTTCATGCTTCAAATTACTACGTTCTGCAAATTTTTCCTTTAGAGTTAGTGCCGTGATGTTGTTTTTTTCTATTCCATAATAATCGGACAGTCCAGATACTGGTCATGCATCACCTCAATTAATGTAGCAGTCTTCCAGAAGCTCTGTCTGCCTTTCCCCTCTCTTATTCTGCATCTAAACAAATGTTTGTAACACCCGCTACTCTACTCAAAAGCCTGTAATAGCTCTAAATTTCCCAACATCGTGAAAACTCTGCTGCTTGAGTTTCTTCCTCCATCTTAATTCTGGAATCATGTTTATCAGGATACCCAAGTCTTATTGCTGCGTAGTCTGGCCTGTCTTGGCATTCTTCTTGATTTTACTAATTCTCAAGTTTCTACTGTGGTCCTTTCTCTTCCTATTCAAATACCTCCTCAAATCCTAACCACTGTTCAGCCTCTTCTCCATAATATTTTTCTGCTTGTTTTCATTCACTTTGATTCCCTTTCCTTTGTACTGCTAAGTCACATCTTGTCTTTAGATTTGATTGTCATCATGGCAGCTTAGGTAGAATGGAAAAAACCCTGGATTGAAGTTGGATAAACTTGAGTCCAAAACAGATTTCAACAATATATCAGCTCTGCAGCTGGAACAAGTCATTTTACCTCTCTGAGTCTTTCTTGCCTTTTCTATAAAATGGGGATTTTAACAAACGAGATAGAAAATGATAAGAAATGTGAAAGTAATGACATGTAACAATATCGTAAGTGCTGTTTAAGTTTGATTCTTCACAGTTGTTTTCAACTACTTTATATGGGTTTGTATGTCTTCTGAATTTGGCTTCTGGAGACTGAGTATTGTGTTTTATATTCCTCTCACCTTCCAAAAGCCGTGGATATTGTTATGTAAAAATTTGTGGCCAATAAATAAATCTGGAATAAACTTGGCTTAGAGTTTTCCAACAAGACATGTGAAAGCTAGTTCAGTCGCAGACTTTGAAAATACCAGGAGTAGAAACAAATGAATAAACCACAGCCACCTGAGACTTAGGTCTTGTATAGAGAGAGCTCACCCACACAAAGTCTTTGGACAAAACGTTACAACTTTATATAAACTCTTAGACCTGATATAAATATATCATTTACTGAATAGTTCATCCAGTTTTCTTGTAAACTAAATAAATCAGTTGTAAAGAGATAAAGATCTGAAGACATCCTAACCCACCTCTAGCCAATATAGTTTTTAATACATATTTGCTATTCCTTCACTTGATTATTCTTTTACTTATTTAGCTATTAATTATACACACACACACACACACACACACATACACACACATACATATATATAATTTACTAGGGGCAGGTATGTTCTGGCACTTTACAATTATTAATTCACTTTAACCTCACGATCTCCGTGAGGCAGGCAGTGTTTTATGGTTTTTCTAATAAGAAAATGAATGCACAGAGAGCTGAGCAATATATCGAGGGTTGCACAGCTAGGAAGTTTGGACTGGGGTTTGAAACCACGCAGACAATTGGCTCCCAGAGTCCCATCCTTTCAACGAACAACCGGTGGTGCTTCTTTTGAACTTTTTATGTTTTCGTACTTTTCTCCTTGTTTGTACCACTTTCATTGACCCTTGAATGATAGCTAGCAAAGCTCTAGGATACCATAAATAGTACTCATAGTAATCATACTCTGTTCTATGCCTTGACCTGTTAGTTTGGAGGTGGGGCTGTCAAACCCTCAGAGGAAAAACCTTCACAAGTTTATGGGGTTGGATAATGAACTTCTCTTTTATGGAGGAGTAGAGGTTGTTCCTCTCATACACAGAGGATGTTTTGCTTTGCCCCATAGATTAAGAAAGGAAAGGAAAGTTGACTCAATTGATAGTCATTCTTCCAGTTACCACCAAGAATTTCAAAATGAGTGTAAATACAGTGTCAGAAGAGAATTGCCTCAGGCAACGTATTTCCAAAGGTGGATATGATAGCAGCAAATTACAGCAAGTTGGCCAGTTTCTTAATTCTATTTCTTCAGTACCAAACCGTAGTTTCTTGAATTGTAACTTTAGATTTGAGGTAGTTTGGCAATTCCTGAGGTGAGGGCTTAAAATGGCCAATGTGTTCAAATAGCCTTATTTTCTAGAGCTTTCCATTGTTTAGGTCATGGGTCATCATACCACTGATGTCACATTGTGTCTCCTTTTTCTGCTGGGATATTTCTACCTGCTTCTATTTCACAGTAATATGGATGCTACAATTTATCACTCAGGTGCTCAGAGAAGTTCCCATCACTTCTGATGTTGTTAAAGTTTAGCAGCTTCCTTACCTCAGCCTAATTAATTTGGGCCTCACATGTAGAAGGACCTGCTAATTTCTTAGTGGCCTTTGCAGTCACATTCATATATTCATAAAAGAACTGATATGGTTTGGCTCTGTGTCCCCACCCAAATCTCACCTGGAATTGTAATAATCCCCACATGTCAATGGCAGAACTAAGTGGAGATAATTCAATCATGGTGGCGGTTTCCGTCCTCCTGTTTTCATGATAGTGAATGAGCTCTCATGAGATCTGATGGTTTTATAAGGGGCTTGGCTTCTCCCTTCTTTCAGCACTCATTCTCTCTCCTACCACCTTGTGCTTTCTGCCATGATTGTACGTTTCCTAAAGCCTCCCAGCTGTGTGAAACTGTGAACCAATTAAACCTCTTATCTTTATAAATGACCCAGTTTTGGATATTTCTTCATAGCAGCATGAGAAGGGCCTAATACAAGAACCTAGCTCAATGAGCCATTTTTGTCTGCAAAGAATTTTGTAAGAAAATGGAGGCTGGGTGCAATGGCTCGCACTTTGGGAGGCTGAGGTGGGCAGATTACTTGAGCCTAGAAGTTTGAGACCAGCCTGGGCAAGAGGGTGAAACCCTGTCTCTACCAAACCAGACCAAACCAAACAACAAAAATTAGTCAGGTGTGGTAGTGCATGCCTGTAGTCCCACCTACTTGGGAAACTTTGGTGGGAGGATCATCTGAACTTGGGGAGATCAAGGCTGCAGTGAGCCATGATTGCACTCCAGCCTGTGTGACAGAATGAGACCCTGTCTTAAAAAACAAAAAGAAAAAAAATAGAAATACTTTTAATTGTAAGAAGTATTTTAAACCCAGATTCTTGTTTTACAATTGTAGACTGTAACAGGGTTTTGAAAGTCACTACTTCACATTTGCTAAGAATTACTCATATGAGTTATTGGTAGGCTTTCAGTCTAGACCCACACTTTACTCTTCTTCATAAAGATAAAAGGGGAGGGCTCCTATCCTCTCATTCCTCAGTACATGGAAAGGCTATTGCTTTCATTAATTAAATATCTGTGTAATTCTCAAGGTAAAATAACTGCTAATAAAAAGCATAGCAGAGGATATCATTATCAGTCCACAAACTCAGATGTGGAGGAAATATCATATTTCTTTGTTTCTTTGGACCAAGTACCATCTATCCCCTAGCCATCTTGTGGCCTGACAAAAAGGATAGTTCCAGATTCAGTGTTCTTTCTCGCTATTTCCGATATTGTGCAAAGGCCACAGGTACACTGTGGACTCTCTGACCATCACTGACCACTGAGGTAATTACCTTTAAGACATCCATTCTCTCTTTCTGGATGTTCACTGCTGGTCAAGGGGTTTGGTTGCTTTACTTCTATGCCAGGAATCTTTGCTAAGCCTATGAGACCCTGTGTTTGCAGTCTGGTCATATAAGCCACACCAAGCTCTCCTTTCCTGATCAACTTGTGTCTTGACCTTTTGCTAACACTACCATGGAATAGTTCAGAGATCCTGCTCCTCACAGCAGCCCCCGGGGTTTGACCTCCTTGCAGTGTGTGGGAACTCTCCCCCTTACTCTTCTCAAAGCCATTTCTGTCTCTTCACAATAGGTTCAAGCTTTTACAAAAGACACGAAGAGCAATTGTCTTCTGCAGCTTTTGCTTTTTGCTCTGTCACAAACCAACCCAGAATCAAGAGAGCCCCAAACTTGGCCCCTGGTAGAAATGGCAGGGGGAGGAGGGTGGGAAAGATAAATGGAAAATGTAACCAAAATGATTCCTTGGTTAATAATCCTGCCACCCTATTACATAACTAAACAAATGCTCTTGTGCTAGGCTTCCCTTTACATATGTTATATCAAAGCATCTCACCTCAGTCCCACGAGGACAGATTTATTATCTCCATTTTACAGGGGAAGTGTTCGTCAGTTCCCTCCTTCAGTGAGCCACAAGGCCGGTGAGAACTAGGGCCAGAGTTTCAATTCATTGTCAGACTCCTACACTGACACTCTCTTTAAAAACATACCACAAATGTGAAACTGACCGAGAGTTTTCTTTCAGTTCTTTTCTTTTTGAAGAAAGTATTTCCATCCCTAGGGTATTTCTGCCATATTAATAATGTAAATGGAATCTGATGGTCTCTTTTGCCTGGGCTTCTCTGGGCTGCTTGCCTTCCTGAGGCATCGCTTCTAAGTCCTTGAGAAGTTTATTCTGCTAATTCCTTCACGGCAGAGTTTCCCCAAAGGATGCTTCCTGAAGGGATGTGTGGTATTTCAACCTATTCTAGGTGAGTGTTCTTAAACATCGACATGATTCTTGATCATCTGAAGATTTGTTGGAACACAAATTGCTTGGTCTTACCCTCAGAGTCCTTGATTTCATGAGCCAGAGGTGGAACCTAAGAATTTGCATTTCTAAATTAAAATCACATTGAGATACCATCTCACAACAGTTCGAATGGTGATCATTAAAAAATCTGGAGAAAACAGATGCTAGAGAGGATGTGGAGAAATAGGAACATTTTTGCACTGCTGGTGGGAATGTAAATTAGATCAACTCTTGTGGAAGACAGTGTGGCGATTCCTCAAGGATCTAGAACTAGAAAAACCATTTGACCCAGCAATCCCATTACTGGGTATATATCCAAAGAATTATAAATCATTATATTGTAAAGACACATGCACATGTATGTTTATTGCAGCACTGTTCACAATAGCAAAGACTTGGAACCAACCCAAATGCCCATCAATGATAGATTGGATAAAGAGAATGTGGCACATACATACAATGGAATTCTGTGCAGTCATAAAAAAGAATAAGTTCATGTCCTTTGCAGGGACATAGATGAAGTTGGAAACCATCATTCTCAGCAAACTAACACAAGAACAGAAAACCAAACACTGCATGTTCTCACTCAAAAGTGAGAGTTGAACAATGAGAACACATGGACACAGGGAGAGGAACATCACACACCAGGGACTGTCACGGGGGTGGTGGGGGCTTAGGGGAGAGATAGCATTAGGACAAATACCTAAGGTAGATGATGTGGTCATGGATGCAGTCAACCACCATGGCACATGTATATCTACATAATAAACCTGCATGTTCTTCACATGTACCCCAGTACAATAATAAAAAAAAAAGAGTTTGCATTTCTTTCTTTCTTTCTTTTTTTTTTGAGAAGAGTTTCACTCTTGTTCCCCAGGCTGGAGTGCAGTGGCGTGATCTCGACTCACTGCAACCTCTGCCTCCTGGGTTCAGGCAATTCTCCTGCCTCAGCCTCCTCAGTAGCTGGGATTACAGGCACGT